ATATATTACTTAATATTTCATATTTTTATTAATTTAATTAATTCTGAAGCTTCAGCATCAAAATGCTTTGAGGCTTATGCCTTGCTTCATGGAAAAAAACACATAAATTATTGATTGCACAATTTCAAACCTTGTCTATCAGTTATCATAATATCCACAACTATGATAAAGAAATGTATGTTTTATTTCTTACCCTTCCCAACTCTTTTTGGTAGTCATTTTTTAATAATTCCATCCTACGGCTCACTTAGACAGTAAAGCGAGGTTAATAGCACCTCACAATCCTCCCAAGTAGGAGCTTGAAAGAAAGGTGTGTTAGGACTTAAGGAGCCAAGAAATGAGGAAATTTTTGGTATTGATTTGAGGAATAGATTATATTCTTCAAAAGCTGAAAATGAGTTTTTTTTTTTTTTTTATTAGAACTAAACATTACATGTGATGTAGACAAAGGGGGGGTTATGTGATGTAGACAAAGGGGGGGTCAAATCAAACCCAAAAAATTTTGGTTTCGACTTCCCTTGAGCTTGCTAGCTCATTAATTTTTGGGCTGGAATTTAGCTCATTATGAGCTGGTTTTTAGTTCATTTTTTGAACTAAGAGTTAGCTCATTATGAGCTATGTTTTTAGTTCACTTATTAATTTATTAGTAGATCATTATTTTTTGTCTCTTCTCCCCCCCCTTGTCTATTCATTTCCCGTGGTTGGCTCTTGGGTTCCCGTGCCTTGGCTCCTTGGATTCCACGGTTGGTTATTTCCGTGCCTTGGCTCCTTGGTTTCCATGGTTGGCTATTTGTTTTCTATGCTGGGTGGCCTTTCCGTGTCTTTGGTGCCTCGGTTCTATGCGGGCCTCTTTGGTTTCCGCGGCTGCCTCTTCGGGTCCCTAGCTGGGTTGTTTCCCGTGAGTGTTGGGGGGCTTTTCCGTGGTTTGTGATGCTTGAGTTCCTGTGGAAAATCAATGAAGTGGTTGTTTGGTTTCTCCTCTCTTGTTTATAAATATGAGTTGGTTTGTGACTGTTTTAAAAAGTGATAAATGTGATTTTTGGAAGATAAAACCTGAGAGTTTTTGGAAAAGCTTGCGAGCTTGTTCCTCTTCTTCTTCTTCTTCTACTTCTTTGGAAGGCTTGCGAGCTTCTCCACCCTTCGTCTTGTCTTATAATCTCTTTCTTCTCTCCGCAAGTTTACACCCCACATGTATCCTTCTTCTCAACAAATGAAAAGCTTCTTTAGGTGTTTGTGTTGAAGTCAAAGTTTATAAGTCTTTTATTTTATTATATAAAGTTGTGGCTTATAGTATTTGTGTCCTTTTGAGTATTTTTTGTGTCCTTCTATTATTTAGAAAAAGTTGTTTTTATGATCAAAAATTTGGGTATTTGATTGCACCAATTTGGTATCAGAGCAAGTTAGGAAGTCCTAGGTTTATGAGTCGTGTGTGTCTTAATGTCATGTTAGTTATCATGTAAATTTTGTTTTGAGTCATGTTGTCATTTGAGTCTTGGTGTCAAGTGAGCAATCTCAAGCCTTGGTGTCTCTTGATGCAACGCCTTCAGAACAAAAGCTAACTCATCAGAAGATGAGTTCTCAAGAAGGGGAGTCTGATGTAGACAAAGGGGGTCAAATCAAACCCAAAAAAATTTGGTTTTGACTTCCCTGGAGCTTGCTAGCTCATTAATTTTTGGGTTGGAATTTAGCTCATTATGAGCTGGTTTTTAGTTCATTTTTTAAACTAAGAGTTAGCTCATTATCAGCTATGTTTTTAGTTCACTTATTAATTTATTAGTAGCTCATTATTTTTTGTCTCTTCTCCTTCCCCTTGTCTATTTGTTTCCCGTGGTTGGCTCTTGGGTTCCCGTGCCTTGGCTCCTTGGATTCCACGGTTGGCTGTTTCCGTGCCTTGGCTCCTTGGTTTCCACGGTTGGCTATTTGTTTTCTGTGCTGGGTGGCCTTTCCGTGTCTTTGGTGCTTCGGTTCTGTGCGGGCCTCTTTTGTTTCCGCGGCTGCCTCTTCGGGTCCCTGGCTGGGTTGTTTCCCGTGAGTGTTGGGGGGCTTTTCCGTGGTTTGTGATGCTTGGGTTCATGTGGAAAATCAATGAAGTGGTTGTTTGGTTTATCCTCTCTTGTCTATAAATATGAGTTGGTTTGTGATTGTTTTAAAAAGTGATAAATGTGATTTTTGGAAGATAAAACCTGAGGGTTTTGGGAAAAGCTTGCGAGCTTGTTCCTCTTCTTCTTCTTCTACTTTGGTAACAGCACTTCAGCCCTACAATATTTTGATGTTAAAATTTTTTTATTAACGTGCTCTTCATCTAGAAATAAATGCAATTGAAGAACGTATAATCAAGTGCATACAAAGAGAAGAAACCGTTTGGCAACCCTAAAGATGAATTCCTTAGCATACATCATATACAACAAGAGACTCGAAGATAGAAACTTGAAGAAGAAATGATTAAAGGATGATGATGACCCTTTGATTTGTAGGGACATGACATCAGATAATGAATAGTATGTGGATGATGAAATGGAGGTAAGACCATCTGAATTTATTGGGAGGCATTTGACTCCATAGGTGATGAGGTAGGGAAGACAGCAATTAATTGCGACTACAACTCAAATAAAAACTCCCTCAATGATGACATCACAAATAACTTATGTTATCACACTATTATTATTTTCTTTAGGAATGAAATGTGGATGAGAATAGAATGGGAAAGAAAGAATTTTGAGTTAAACTTGATGTTATATGATACTTTTATACAATTCTTTTATTTTATATTGTTTTGGTATTATGATGTTTCCATTTTAATTCTATTTAATGCAATTTATTACTTGCCAATTTGTGTCTTATGCAATTTTTTATTCCATATGTATATCAATCTATTACTTCATAGTTCAATAGAATGTTAATATGTCATTTTTTGACATATTAATTGGCTATTATACAAAAAAATAATTTTTAACATTCATTTTCACTTTATGCAATTTTTTGATTTTGAGGCTTACACTTTGAGGCTTACACCTCACCTCATGAATGAAGAATGCCTCAACACCTAATGGTGTAATTTTAAACATTGATTAGCATTGGCCTACAACTTAATAATCGTAGGGTTTTCACATTAATAGCAACAATGATCTTAGATGTCTTTTTCCGACTCTTAGTTGCACCACATCTCACTTCAACTTCCCTATTTTATCATGAGTGTTTCCTTCCAAATCATTGTAATGAAGATATTTTGCATCATGCACATCTAAGCTATATAAGATATACATAAAATACTTAGCTTGATTGCTAAGGTCTTTGTTCTTGCCCATTACTAGGATAAATTAACTTAGAAGTTACTATTTCCCACTTTTCCAATCTAAACATCAAATGCTCCCTATCCATTTCCATCATCAACATCTAGTAGCACATAAATCATCATTTGTCGTTGACATACTAGATCAGACATATCACAAAATATTATATCCCTTGATCGAGATCAATTTCATATTAACTTAACTGAAATACAATACATTCAACTATTATCCAATCATATTTTTAAGCCCCTCATCTTCTAAATACTTTCCTCAATTTCCCTGCTTATTCTACACCCAATCTAGTTAGTTGATTAATTAGGCTACCAACTGCATCATAATTAGTAACCCACTTCCACAATTTTTAGCTATACGCAAAACACAAGTAGCTATCGTTTTTTTATGCCAACCACTTAGATATGACTCATGTCCTCATCTACCAAGTCTAATAGGTTGTTATTCTATTCATTATGTAAAAGTATAGCATTACTTATAGCAGTACTATGCGTTGATCTACAGATGAACCATGTTCACATGCACTAGGTGAGAACTACAAACAAGCACATATCGAGTTTAATTGTCCAACCTATATTACTGTAAGCTTTCCATCATCCATTTGTCAGCTAGAACTCATAGTCTAAGAAAAGAACTCAAAAAAACCAAATACCTACATATTTCTACATTATTAGAACTCACCAATCCATTTATATAGCAATGTATCACTCTTGGTATTCTTATTGATGAAGAACTGAAGGTTTTTCTTCATAAGAAATTGAGAATATCAATATTATAGTAGGCTAAAATTTACCCAAAAGGAATCCACTAATACAAGAATGCATGGATATCAAAGCCATTGTTTAGAAGCTGAAATCTGGACTGGCTTTCCATATGTCCAAATAACTTTATTTTTAGTATCAATCCAAGAAGACTTGTTGGCATATTCCACAAACATCAATAGAACTTACTTACGGAGGAATAGATCACATGCTTCTACTTCATATAAGAAGAATAACAAAGCTTTAACACTTTAGCAATAACTTTCCATAACTTTCCATATCCAACAAGACCCGCATAATTTTAACTACAAGCCTTTCAGATATACTGTTTTGATGAAAATTATAATCATACGTTTATTTCAAGACCTACATGTCTTGATACGAAATAAACAAAGTCAGAAGTACAAACTCAACCATTCAAAACAGAAAAGGTATCGTAAGCAAAAACTACTGAAAACCCATTAGGATGCGCTGATTCAAACTAAAATCAGGCTTCCTAGCTTCGTAAACAACAAAATTTCTCTAAAGCCGTCATAGACAAAAAACAAAAAAACTTTTCCCAAACATAAGACTTAGATGACCTTATCAGACAAAAGAATATGTTTCAATGACTTCGGAAACCATAAAGAGAAGACTGGCCCATCTCCGAACATCTGGTCATCCTAGACCTGATTTATCTTAAAAACCCATCATTTTAATATTTTTAAATACTAAAAAAAAAAGTAGAACACTAAAGACATCACCAGACCACAAAAAAAGAATTATCTGCAAACCGAAAAGACACTAGACAGCAGCAAATCATCATTTTATCCTCATGAAGAGTAGATATACAGAAGTTAAATCACCATCGATCAACTTTCAGAGGGGTCATCTGAAACACAAGTCGCAAATTGCTAAATCCAACGAAAAAATAGACGATCGTACAAATTAATCACACCTTACAACCACCACAGATCTGGAAATCGGCAAGATCCGATAAGCCGCTTTATGAAGACGGCGACTGAAGATTTCTACTCGACTATTCCTCCTCGGCCATCCGTCGCCAAGAGGAAACGACGAAAACCCAGCAACGAAGGACAGTGGCAAGAAAAAAAAAAAAAAAGTAAAGGGATGCTTCTTTAAGGAACTTTTATTACATCCAGTGAATGAACGTATGCTTCTCTACGTTTGGTTTAGAAAAAAAAGTGTCTGTACCGAGTTTTTTTTAAAAAACTCGTTACAACTCGGTACTCGGTACTCGGTACTCGGTACAGACGCTTTTTTTGCCTAAACCGAACGTAGAGGAGCGTACGTTCACTAGATAAAATAAAAGTTCTTCTTTAAGGCTTGTCTTCGGCTCTTTTCCAAACTCCCTGGCTATTTCTCCATTCCCGACCAACTATTTTAAGTTTTTAAAATAATTTATTAAATATGCGTATTAGTATGTGATACAAACAAATTATTAAAATCTAAGAAGTAATTGAGATTTCAGAATCAAAGATGTCTGTTTTTTGCATTTTTTTAAGGTTTTTTTATTATAAAAATTAAAATAATCATATATTTTTTTATGAACCACATAAATTATCTCTTTCTTTAAAACATTAATATTTAATTACTCCTACTTTATAGAGGCTAGTATTATATATAAGTGAATATATATATTACAATTGCAGATATAAAGATAATATCTATAGCTAAATAGAATATTGCTAAAAAATATAAATATGAAGAGAGTGGGTGTAGATTACTTTATCTTATACTCTAAGAAAATTTGTCAAAAAAAATTTCTATGAAATCAATTTACATAGATAGACCAATCAAGTCTATGCTACTATCATCCACTTTTGCTATGAATGGTATCTATTGGTTTTACTCATTTAGAGCTTATGTGAATGTATTTTTTGTGTAACTTTTTGATGGATGGCATAATTTTGTTCAAAATGTATTAATAAGCAAGAATGATGTTGATAGAAAATAATATTTGAGAGAGAAAAGAGATAGTACATGAAGGATTGAGATAAGAAGGTTAATAATTGCTCTTATTAAAACTGAGTAAAGTTGATGTGGGCTCCGAATGAAACTCATAAGCTCATTGCATTATTTTTTTTTTCTCTTGCCCTTTTTAGGCAATCAAAAAAGATAGTTGAGCAGCATAGAGATACAAAGACAAACTAATAATTGGTGATGCAATTTATCAAGACAAATTCTAGATATTTTTATGCTCATTTCATTTTATTTTTATAATTATTGTAATTCTTAGTGTTGAATTATTGTTGTACATTATGATTAAAGTAGCATTAGTACTTGATGAGTTCATGAACATCATCAGGTAGTGGGCCATATCAAAGCCAAAAGCAAGCTAATTGCATGGATATGATTCTTGATGAATCTGCAAGCAAGGTAATGATGAGATTGACTTCTTCATGTAAGAAACCATGCAAGGCACATCTGTTATTAGTTGCTCCATGTAATGAACATCCTGAAATAATTCGAGTTCAAAGTGTGTAAACTATTCCAATCATTACTCCACCTCCTCATAAAATTAAGGAACCATTTTCCCCCACTTTCACCACCTTTTAGAATTACCTACCTCCATCACATGCCTTTGGAGTTTTCATATTTGTGATATAATGTCTAAAAATGTGAAAAAAAGAATGTTGTGTGATGATTTTTAATGAATTCAATTTTTTGAGGTTTATTTGTTTTTTATGTTGGTTTGAGGATCAAATTTTAGTTAGAAACTTGGTGACTAAAGACTACCTCAATACTTTGGTGATGTTTGAGTATGTGTTACGCTATTTAACTTTCTGCATCTCCATCTATATGCATCATCCTCTATTATTTTTTTCTTTCTTATACAAACCCTCAATCTATCAAGCTCTCATTTCAGGGTTCTCCAGCAACTTCCCAATCTCATTCCTACACCCCTACTTCATCATCTACCCGTTCAATCATGGAAGCATCCAATATGGAATTAGTTCCTGCATGCAAATCAAAAGCATCATTTCTCTTGAGTTTCATTTCCATCCATAGGGCTTTAAACACCCTAAAAAATATTTGGCTTATCATAAACAAACTACCCCATCTTAACCTCCTTCCAAATTACCCACACTTGAGCTCTCCCACCATCCCATGGCTACAAAATAATTACCCTTTAAACTCATACCTCTCACCCAATCCAAAATAACTCCTCCAAATCTCATATTAGTCACATTAAAAGCATCTAAGTGCTGACCTCATCACCAAAACCTCATAATCAATAAGATCTCACCATAGCACTCAATTTTGCTAGTTACCAAGTGCCCCTATATAGTTCAAGTGACCTCCCCTTAATTAGCTAAGGTTGATAATTAAGGTTACATATAATTCTAATAGCTTTCCTATTGGCACAAGTCTCATTGGTTAATTATATTATGATCCTAATGATTAGGAATATTCTAGGTTTAGAATGACACTATGTTACAGATTAGTGATTTAATGTTATATTTATATATCTGTGGAATGGATGGGATGGATGAAAAAGCCTAGCAAAATTTCATGATTTTATCTTCTTAGGTCTTGGTGGACCCAATCTATCAACATTAAGTGATTGGATGGCAACCTCATTTGGGGAGTTAGATTAACAATCATGAGTTCCCTTATGTAAGATATTTTGAATAAGCTAACAAGATTCTATATTTAAGAAAATATCCATGCAAAGTGGAGCCCAAAATTTGTTTTGAGTGTAAAAAGGTCTACAACGATATTTTGTGGCTCATAAGAGCAAGGATGTCACTAACGAATATAAAGTGTACCCAACTTCATCAACTTGGATTGAAATTAGCTCAAAGGAATATCACATCATTAAGTGCAAACATAGTTATGAAAATGTCACTATATATTTTCTTGGTAGCATTTAATATATCTAATTTGATTATCTAGGATGAAGGTAGGCTCATCTGAATTGAATAAACCTTAAGGTATATTAGGCAATAGTTGTATGCTACAGGAACCTTCATTGGGAAGCTTAATTATTTAACACTCATTTATTATTTTAAAGGTTACTATAACATGGCAAAGTCGTTACCTTCATCAAGAGTACTAAGGGCCCGTTTGATTTACCATAATTTCGTCGTTTTCAGTTTGGATCGGTGAAAATTTTATAATTTAACTGTTTGTTTAGACGGCGTTTTAAAACTTTTGTTTGCCACACCGCCCTTTTTTTGCCGATTTGAGAAGGATAAAAAATCTGCTTCTCCGTTCTAACACCTCCGTTTAAAAACGAAAAAAAAAAAAGTCGGTGGGAGCCAAACGATGCCTAAGTTAAACAAAGATGGCTTAATTATGAAGCATGATCTTAAGGAAGTTTAAACCAACTTTAATGAATGTAGAATTCATTTATGGAAATAAATTTTAATATTATGGAGGTAATGTTTAATAATTCTTAATAATAATAATTTTATCATATTTCATATGCATATATTATAAAATAAATATCATAATAAAATATTATAAGTTAGTTATCATGACTTGTATGAGTTGTGGTATAGTGAATTTATTTCCTATAAAGCATTTAGATGCATAACTGAAGATTTTTCTGTTGATTCTTTAATTTTTTGAAGTGTTTAGCAAGCTAATTAAATAAAATCATTAACATCAAAGTTACAAAAACTTTTTGTAAGTTGTAGTATTATTATACTAACATTTAAAGGATCTTACATAATTTAGATGTAAACATGAAGTCATATGATATGATGTAGTTACTACTTTTAACATACATAGCTTTGAGCAAAAATAATGAATCACACAAAAATTCTTAAATTATAACTTAATATATTATGTCAATAATGTCATGTGCCATTATTTATATACTATGAATCATAAATTATTAAAATGATAAAAGAAAATTATGAATGAATAGCTAAATAAATTATCCTTGTAAGAGAGAAAACTTATGAATTTATCTAAAAAATTGAAAGTGAACATATGAAGAGTTTGAAAGTTTAAATATAGGCTGTTATACCGACTTGAACTACAAGAGCACACAAGAGGGGGCGTGAATTGGTGTTTTAAAAAAATTTCTTATAAATTTATCCTCTTTTCAAGATTATGATTTAGTGGAAAAATAATATGACAACACCGATTCATAACAACCTTTGTTTTGATTTTTATAAAAGAAACTTGAAAAGAAAAATATTTTTATCTTTTTTATTTTTTTTTCTTTTGGACAAAAATCAAAATATACTTCTAATGTAAAGTGAAGTTCACAAATCATAGATTTAGTAATAAATAAAATACAATAAATAAAGTATCAAAAAATAAAAGCAAAGAACCAAGAACGAATACATCAGAGATTTATAGTGGATCAGTCAACCTTGATCTACGTTCACTCCTTGGAGTCCTCTACTCGGATAATTACACTAAAAAACTTAGTGACTCTCATTTTTCCCCCATAGCATGGTGGATACACCCTTAAAAAACACTTTGACCTCCTCGGTGTAGCGGAGAAGCCAAATCCCTTTTATTTCCTCGATGCAGTGGAGTAGTCAAATCTCTTTCACCTCCTTAGTGTTGCTGAGTAGTCGAATCCCTTTCACCTCCTCGATGTGGAGGAATAGTCGAATCACTTTATAAAAGTTCTGGGAGATTTTAAAACATTATTTAACTATCCCTAGGCACATCAAGAGGGGGTGAATTGGCTAATTTAAATATTACCCTTTAAAAAAATCTTTTTCTTTAAGATTTAGTCAATACCATAGTTTATGAAAATTTTAACCAAGTCACAATATCCAAGCGAAAGCAAATACAAAAATTTTGATTTTCTTTTTCTAACATGAATTAGATCTAAGCAAGAGAAATTTGTAATTCAACCACAAATTGCAATGAAATAAAAAATGGGCTAAAAAGTAAAATGTAGAAAATAAAAGAGCAGAAAAAAATAAGAAAGAACACATTAGAATTTTATAGTGGTTCGGTGAACCTTGACCTAAGTCCACTCCCAGGGTACTCCTATTTGAGTATTGCACTAACACTAAAATAACTCTCATTTATCCCCCATATTAAGGCATAGAATTCCTTACAAATCACTTTCACCAAACCAAGTGCGATGGAGAGCTGAAAGCTATGTCTCCCGCCTGATGATGGCAG